TAAGTCGATTATTTACAGTTTTGCATACCTTCATTTTTTTACCTTTTCGCAAAAAGGCGCAATTACAAATTTGCTAATATTTGTTATTTATGAACTCAATACAGTTTTATCTTTTAGATTTAGTCAGAAAATAATTTTTTTTGTGCACGGATACTGATTTTGGTGTGTTTTAATAATTTAATTGTGTATTTTTATCGGTTTAATATTAATTTGAGAAACATTTGCGCAATTATCGCAGGGCCTACAAATTTAGTATCACCATCTTTTTATTCTACCGGGCCTGCGCTTTCAGAAAATATATGGTTTGGGGGGTCTTTTAAAACCGCTCGCAACGCAGCAGTTGAAAATCAAACCAATAGGAAAAAATTGCAGAAAATTCAAAAATGGCTTGGCCAGCTGATTTGAAAAATGTTCGAGGGCTTGGCAGCGAAAGGGTTAAAAGAGAATTCCAGGCAGTTAAAAATTGAACCCTTGCAGTGCGGGGGTAGCCCCACTGCAAAGGTTACGTTTTTAACTGCCTGGATACCTTCTTTAAGGTAGGGGAAAAAATCTTTAGGTTAAAGCCCAATAGTACTTTTAAAGAAAATTTTACTTAAAAAAAAAAAAACTTAGGTGACAAGCCCAACAGGAATGACATGGCAGAGGCACAGCAGTCCCCCTTCTATTCTCTCATTTTTATTTTTTGGAACACAATTTGAGTGATAATACATGTAAACTTAATCTACAGTAACGCTGGTTGATTTAAAACTACCATTGGTAAAAACTAGCTGTTTTTGTTATTTATATAAAATTAAAAATTTTTGGAAAACAAAGTTTACCTTCCTCAACTTTCTGTAGATCAGCCCGTGATAATCACAGTACATCAACTGTAGCAAAGGTTTAGTCTTATATGGACACACAAATGCTTGCGTTTAGGAATTACCTATCATGAGAGTTATACCGAGTGTTGTATAACCTGCAGAGCCCACTGCATCTTTTATCCGAGCATACACCAGCCCCATGACGTTCATATTTACAGTGCTTCCCTGAAATAGAACAACTGATTAAATCAGAGAATATACCTCATGTTCACAGTGTAAAATAACATAAAAGTGCTAAATAAGCCATTTTGTATAGCAATGTTATTAAAAATCTCCTAATATTTCATTCTGCATAGACCACGAGGCTTCACAGTAAAAACATGGATTTTCTTATAAGACAGACTGCTCAACAGGTGATAATAATGGCAGAACCACTTGCTTCCCCCCCAGTCATCACTTTGACTCGTAACTTATTCAAACGGCTTTGTCTCTGGTATTAGGTGTATTTTTACTTTTACAGCCGATTGGGGTAGCACCTACTTCTTATTTGTTACATGTTCTCATTCACATAGCATAACATCAAATATTTACAAATAGCTGCTTACCCTTTTACTTGCTGAAAAATCTTAGTAAGCTCTCCCTTCTATGAAATGTTAAGATAAGAGTTGTGTAATTATATTTGCCATAATAAAGCCTTTGTCCTTAGAGAACTATGGGGTTAAGGCTTTTCCCCATAGTTCTCCTTAGGGTAACGGGAGGACACAAACTAGCGTCCTCCTGTCACCCTAGGCTCAGCTGTAGCTTGCAGTATAACGAGACGCCACAGCTGAAGCGGATCCCGACAATTATGCCGGGATCCGCCTAGCTGCGTGACTGACAGCTGGCTCTGCCTATCTAGAGGCAGATCCAGCTGCACCCGCCCCCTCCCCCATCCGTTCCGCCAGTCAGCGCTGGCGGATCGGAGTGGGGAATCCAGCCCCTCCCCTGTCACGGCAGAGAGCCGTGACAGGATCGAGAGGGGAGCGAACGCCGCTATGTGTTCGCTCACCTCCCGATCTACTGAGCCGACCTGTGACAGTCTCATTGTCACAGGTCGGCTAGAACTATGAGGTGAGTGAAAAGCACTCACCTTATAGTTCTCGTCTAACTCCACATTGTCATCTATTCTAAGCAATAAAAGCTGCCTATATAAAACACACAACAAAGAAACTAGAAGAGACAACGAGATAAAGAAGAATTAGTTTAAAAACTTTATAAAATCAAAAAGCCACTAAATGTGCTAATGCTTTAAAAAAAAAAAAAAAATTAGGCCTAAATAGCCACCCCCTCCCTCTCCTTACACAGATGAACACCTTAACTAGTCAGCTCACACAGACTGCCAAAAAGCATGCAGGCAGACCTGGCCTTTCCTAGAAATCCCAAGATGCTTTGCAGACTGACCACCATGGAAGTAATCCAAAAAAAATTAAAAACCACAAAATATATCAGTAAAAAAAAAAACAAAATAAAAAAATAAATGAAATTGATCACAAACCCTAAGATTTTAATTTTTAAATTAAATCCAGTTCTGGCCATTACTCTCCAGTCTCCCCTTATGCAGATTACTACCTGAAAAGACTAAGGGCAATGAGACCCATACCTGTTTCCTATTAAATTTGCTTATCAACCAGCCCACTGATTTCCCAATATTTCAACCTCCACACTGTGGCCAAAGGTGGGTTTATCTCTGACTGGCTGCCTCTAAATGATCCAGAAATAGTGGAAAACCAGTAAGCTGGCTGAAACTGGAAGCAGACTGTTAAGCGTTATACTGAACAAAAAAATAATACTGAACAAAAAAAATAAAATAAGCATCAGCGTATCAACATCTAACAGGATCTTTTCTCTATGAGCTCCATCATTTCTTAGAACCATAACACCTATGTATGGTATCATAGTGGCTCCATATTTCCCTCTTTATGGCAAAGTAACAGATCTGCAAGAGAGCCAGAGCAAGGAAGGTAAAGAGAAGTACTTAAGTTTCACTTGCTTCCCTTGACCTGTATAGCTGCCACGGTTCTATAGAAATCCAATACCTCCAGATATGGGACAGTACATTTCCCAAAGTGCAGAATTCAGGTCATCAGGCAATGCCCAGACTGCCCCATGATGTCGGAGTGGGTTGTGCAAAAGCTGCAGACCATTGTTGGGTTAGAAATTGCACAGACATTTTGGTGGAGGGCTCAGAAGTCAGTCTTTTTTATCCTCCCTGCTCGAAAACAAACTTGTAACTTTGCCCTGAATGAGATAAGCACGGGTTTACTTTTACCATGGTTTGTTTTATTGATGGTGTGCCATATGAAAATATGTGTTTGAAGGCTTAGGTACACAGAAAATCAATAAGCTACAAAAGCACACCCAAAGTGTCACCAAAGACAAAAATGTTTACAGACTGATACACACATTTGGGCTGCAACTAATGATTATGGTCATAATCGATTAGTTGGCCGATTATTTTTTCCAATTAGTCAGATATAAGAAAATTAAATACCATCCTTAATTTAAAATACAGAAATGCAGTGTTACAAAGTTTACTTCGGAATAAAACTGCATGTACAATTTTTTGCAAACACACTGCACAGGAATGCACTTCGTTGTGGTACCGTGCGTTCCAGTGAGGGCAATCACACTGTGGGTGGGAGGCCGAAACCGAAAATTACTTGAATAGCTTTGGCCAGCAAATGACAGCTGCCAGTGGCAAGATTCTGCAGACGGCAGCTGAATGTAAATACAGCAGGTAGTGGGCTGGTGGAATAGCCAGCCCGTTATTGGCCATTTAAAACTGTAATAGCCAATAGCAGGCTGGCTATTGCACTCAGCCACTGCTTGCTGTGCCCTCCTCCCAGCATGGAGGAGAGAGCGAGGGGATCCAACAAACTAATCGATAATGAGAACAGTTGACAAATATTCTCTTTATCGAGTATTCGATTAGTTGGTTGCAGTCCTAACACACATCACTGCTAATTCAAAGTAATACTGTTACCCACCACTCTAGCCATACTGAGCTGCAATCCAAAAACCAAATTCAGTTCTTTCCCTTTGAACCAGCTGACAGCATAGGTATTTTGTGCAACTGCAAGCGATTCCCCACCAATCCTGAAAAACAGCAAGTACAACAAATATATGTTTAGCTTGGCTAATAACGGAGAGTGGTAACAAGGTACACAGAATAAAGAACGTAGATATGCTATGGTTCCCTTTAAATTCTTCTTTGAGCAGCTGTGGATAAAAACAAATAAAACATAAATCGGCCAACAACTGTGGATAAAACTAAATTACAGAACAGAAGCATGTAGCCGACGTGTACTGTCAGCTACCAGCTGCTCCAAGACTAGAGCTGCCAAGAGACCCCTGCAGTTTTGCCACCCAGGGATAGTGGTACTTAAAGTGACAGTAAACTCAGGAGTTAGATCTTAAAAATGCATTCAAGTACCTAAACTGTTAACAAAAATGTATCTTATTTGTGTATCACTCGGTTGTAGATCCTCAAATCATCTCACCTTCTTGTGACCTACTTTTACAATGAAACAAAAGTGACATCTTCACCTATAACACATCTGCGGTATACAATTTTTATATGAATTGTTACAAACTGCTAAAGAAAAGACAACACTTAAAATAGTGTGGTTTACACAGCACATGTTCCAAGGTTGCTTGCTTGGTGCGTTTTTCTTCCAACTCACCCAAATACCAGCCGCCCAGCTTCCATTAACCAAAAAGCATTAAATAAGGCTCCTGTTGCAAAGATAACCTAAAACATGATGAAAAATAACATACATCAATATATAAGAGAGCAAAACTCGTTTTTCTGTTAAAATGTTATTACTTTGTAAACATTGTCATGAACAAGTCATGAAATGTATCTTATTTGTTATGAAAGCCTCATTTCTATGTATAGTCTATATACAGTTAAGTTGTAATTATATTTGTACAGTGGGGAGTTATACTGCCATTCCATATGTAGACTCCCTTTCATGCCTGATACTGCTTTACCATTAACTTTCTAGATGAAAAGATAACCTCAGGTCTTGTATAATGAAGTACTTTAAGGGACTTGACCTTAGCAGTAGTTGACTGGGATGCAGACTAACTAATATAGAGATACAAGAGGGACTATGTTCCTTTGTATATAACATACCAAAAGAACAATGCTGAACAGTAAACACTAAATACATCAAATATCACTCTCAGGTAAACACTATTTATTACCGGTATTTATATAACGCAGACAATTCACACAGCACTTTACATACTGCATGTTCACAGCAGTCCCTGACCTCAAGGAGCTTACAATCTAAGTTCCTTATCTAAAATGCATACATACAGGGCTGTTTTAGACAGGGGCCAATTAACCTTCCATGGTGTCTTTGGAGTGTGGGAGGAAATCGGAGAACCCGGAGGAAACCCACACAGGCACAGGAAGAACATGCAGATAGTGAACCGTCCGGGACTCAAACCACGGACCCAGAGTGCTGCAAGGCAACACTAAAATAATAATGGAAGTCTCGGAAAAATACAGAGGTTCCTCAACTCCCTTGCTTCTGTCTCACAACAACTGTATTGCTGTTTGCTGCCCTGCACTGTACTGACCAGGATCCTTACTTCCATTGCTTGAAAAAACACTGCAGAGAGCTGTGCATACCAGGAAGATTATTTCATTAGGCAGGGATAAAGCATTTTTTTTTTTATGTACAATAACCCAGTAGACTTCAGATTACAGTTATTAGATAACCTCGCATGAAAAGAAACATATAAAAGAAAACCTGGATCCAACACCATCAAACTGATGCCTAAATCTAGCTATATAATACATTGCTCAAATTTGAGCTGTGTGTGGCCTTGATGGCACCCCTGTCTTAACAAAAGCTGATTGGCTGCATAGAATAATCAGCTGCAGTCAATGTTCAGTTATTTTGACAGCGGCTGTTAGCAGCTATCAGAATGCAATTTTCCGGCAGGGAAGATTCTTCAATTCACACTGTGTGAAGGAATCTGTTAGATTTATTTCATTTAGCCGGCAACCTGAGCAAAAGAAATGTAACCTTTTCCCTGCCACCGCCATAAGGCATACGGCGGAACAAAAAACTGTTCACAATACGCCAAGTCAGTATGCCTTATGGAGGTGGCATTTTCAGTTCTGCTATAAGCTCATGCTCACTTTAGCGACCATGAACCTTGCGTCTCTGCTCGTCTCCCGGTCGAAAATCCAAACTGCGCATGCGCCCGCCCCAAGATGCTTTGCGGCCGCCCGAGCAGTTTCGGATTCTCAGGTGGGAGCGCGCGGCGAAGACGGGGTAAGTTTAAACCACTGTGTTTTGTTTTTTTTTTACTTTTTGCATATATCTACTGCTAGCTAGCAGTAGATATAGGCAAAAAAAACGGAGGGTTTAGAAACCCTTTAACTGTGGCAGCGCATGGCAAAGCTTTGTGACGCATTGCCGTGCGTTGCGATACCTGCAAATAAATATACGCCTGTATCATTTTATCACAACACAAACACCAACACAGTGCAAAAACTATTTTGAACATAAGTCGCTTATTTACAGTTTTGCGTTCCTTCATTTTTTTACCTTTTCGCAAATAGGCACAATTTAAAATTTGAAAATATTTGTTATTTATTAACGCAATACAGTTTTATCTTTTAGATTTAGTCAGAAAATATTTTTTTTTAAATATCAGCTTTATCAATTGAATTGTGTATTTTTATCGGTTTAATGTTCATTTGGGAAACATTTGCGCAATTATAGCAGGGCCCACAAATTTAGTAGAACCATCTTTTTATTTTACCGGGCCTGCGCTTTCAGAAAATATATGGTTTGGGGGGTCTTTTACAAACGCTAGCAACCCAGCAGTTGAAAATCAAATTAATGGGAAAAAATTGCAAAAATGGAGTGGCCAGCTGAGGTGCAAAATTTTCCAGAGGGCTTGGCAGCGAAAGGGTTAAAAGTGTATGGCCAGCTTACTCAGTCCTTGCTCAACTAGAAACTAATTGCCAAGTACTTCTTTCCCGAGCAGAAAGTGATGAGAAAGCACTCCTTCCTTTTTAAGGCTAACCACAACAAAGCTGAGGGTAATATTGCACAAGCTCTACAAGTACTCTGGGAATAAGCAAATGTTGCACTAATAGTAAAACACTGAGAAATCCTTACCTGTCCAACACACACAAAGAGACTAAATATAATTGTTCCCAACCTATAGGGTGGGGGAAAACAAACAAAAACAGGCCAAGTCAACTGTGCACTTTAAAGCTCAACAGAGTTATAGTGCATATAGCAGCTAAATGCAAAATGTTAATACACATTCTGTTTCTCATGTTTAAAAGCAACTACACATAGAATAAACCAGCCACAAAAGGTTGAATACTCAGCATAAGAAGTTTAGAGAGTCTGGCTTATTTAAAGAGCCACAAAGCAATATTTAAGGCCTGATTTGATCAGGCAAAGCTCAGAAATTTCCAAGTAATGCCGTATCTTTCCAATCCCCATCTGCCGCCCACAAATTTCTTTTAGCCATTGAGGCAGCCCATCATAGTGATGGATGGATAGGAGGCGAGGGGAGCAGGCAAGCACCAACACTGCTAGCATGTGTGGAGCTTTGCCAATCAGACCTGCCTGGCATTTAGGTGTAGACCCCCTCTACTCCAGCGATGTGCAATTGAAGTGGAAGTTAAGTAGTAAAGTTTAAAAGTAGTGGGGTAATGTTTCCTACGACGTGCGAACATGCACAGCATATTAGCACATTAAAGCCAACTTACCTGCCAACCAATCTCCTCCAGTGTAGTGCTGTCTACTCTCACCCCTGCCATCTTCTCCCTGGTCTTCATATGGGTTTGGCATCTTTAGCATTGTGAATAGCCAGCATGAAGCGACTGGCACATGGGCACGGAAGTAACATAATTTCGGCATGCCGTGTCTGTGCGCTGAGCTGCGCATGTGCGTCTCAGTGCACAGAAAAAAATCCTTACAGGTAGGTAGGAGATTTTCACAGAAGACACTTACAGTTTCTTCTGCCAAAAAAAAAAAGCAATTTTTTTTTCCATTAGATATTGCGTCGGCTTTAAGACTATATTTCCAAAAATGCATAGCACAGATGCCTTCTGTCAAGAAGGAAGCAGGCCTTGGATTGGTCTGTAACTTGGGCCAAGACAGACTGATCACAATCTCCATCCCATCACTTCAATGTCAAGTTCTTATGATTTACATCTTATACTGACTGCAAAACAGGAAGTAAAATTTAATTTTATCTCCATTTTATTATTTTGATTTAAGTAGTAACTGTGCTGCTGTCTCACTCACTGCTACTGCACCAACACACACTGCCTTACTTGGCATTATTGCGCCTATGTGTACTTCTTTTGCCACCACTGCACCAACATATACTTCTTCACTCTATATACACACACACACACACACTAAAAGTCACAATGCCACTCACTGTAGACCAAAGGTGTAGGAGAGCGTGTCAACAGCTCTATTTCAACACTAAAAGCCCCTGTTGGACAGTGCTCTCCCACATACAAGAAATACGGGGCTAAGGTCTGTTTCTGTACCAAGCACTAGTAAGCTATTGATCATTCCTGGAATGATGCAGCACACTCCTTACAACTCTAAGCTTTCTGTTGTGGCCAGAGTTTAGAGGCTTCATTTCTGTAGTAAGGAGTATGCAAAACCCCTACCAAAAAGTTATGCAAGGGTCTTCTAGACCTTTTAATGCGGAAACAGTCCACATACAGTACCTAGCCTTACTATAATAATTGGCTCAGGACTCAAGAAAATGATAAACAGCACATAAGTTCCAATACTCTATTTCTTTCTATCTGAACTAAAAGTCAACCCCTCCACTAAGCAAGTTTCCTAGGGACTAAAAAACAAAGGATTTTTTTAACAACATTGTTTTCTAGCAGAAGTTAGTTTTAAAAAGAAACCTACCGGATCCCAAATACCCGATCAATCAAAAAGCCTCCAAAGAAACAAAGAACAACATTGGGCCAGGAGTAAAATGCATACAACTGCATGAAATTTGCTGTGTTCACCTTCATGTCCTGTAGGGGGAAAAAAAAAAAAAAAAGGATTACTGCCTAATAATACAACAGGAGTTTAAGTGAGGGAGTTGCTGAACTCAATGAACAAAACCGGTTTATTTACTTGGGTGAATATCTCACTAGGGTACAAGGTTGCAAAATGTCAGCACAAGGACCTGATAGTAAGAAGCGCACTGACCTTTTTGCTCAAAGAATAGCTTTTTGCTTTCTCCCCCATACAGTGTCAAAGATACAACACTCCAGGTAACCTCTTTAAAAATTGAAAGCGAATAGAGAAGAGTTAGGAGCTTAGTTAGGTTTTAATTGCTTTGTGTGTTCCCCATTTGGTAGATTTCCCATCACCATCTGTCTGGTTGACCGAGCATGGGGACACATCAACAAAAAACATTCCATAAACTTTCTAATTTTATAATGATAAATAAAAAAGTTAGATCCGCTTTATTTTGAAAGTTTTGTCCGTCCGTTTTTTTACTACGGGCGGACGGCAAGAGGTTAAAGTGACACTAAAGTCAGGAGTTGAACCTTAAAAATGCATTTAAGTACCTTAACTATTAACACAAATGTATCTTGTGTGTCACTGAGTTGTAGATCAAATCTCTGAATTGGTGCCGACACTGTCCTTCCTTCTGGAGGGTGACTACTTTTGTTCCCCATGGTCCCTGTGTGCGTGTGTGCGTGTGTGCGTAAAATATTCACCGCTAATAGCTCGCTCCTGTGATAGACTACAATCTCAATACAAATTAGTAAACTATACGTGAGATTGTAGTCCATCACAAGAGTGAGCTTGGAGCGGTGACTATTTTACACACACACACACAGGGATCATGGGGAACAAAAGTAGCCACCCTCCAGAAGGAAGGACAGTGTCAGCACCAATTCAGAGATGATTTGAGAATGTACAGCTGAGTGATACACATTTTTGTTAATTGTTAGGGTACCTGAATGTATTTCTAAGATTTAACTCCCGAGTTTACATCACTTGCCCTTTGTTCGTTCTACACACCTCACAGTGAGTATGGGTGGCGTGTACCTGACAACAATTGTATGACATGTGTATAATGGTATATATTTTTGCATTCTTTTGATAAATTATTCGTCCCTTGTTAGATCTACCTACCTCCAATCACTTGAGGTAGCAACCTGCGAAACGCGTGGGCGGTACTGCATGCCACTGGAACGGATCAATCACACAATATGTGCCTTATTGTCAAGATACTTTATGTGTTATAAGATGAATACTGTATGAATAATTGGTACTGTTGTGGCTGTGGGAGGTTTGTTGCATATAGAATATAATGGGACATTTATTATTATTTATATAGCACTGACAATTTACGCAGTGGTTTACAAAGTGCACATTCACATCAGTCCCTGCCCTCAAGGAGCTTACAATCTAAGGTACCTTTCTCACATGCATACATACAAGGGGGACATGAAAGATGTTTTTAGCTTGCCATGTTTTTATAGAATGTAATTAATAAAATGGTGTTTTTTTAAACTTGACAAATTGTGTTATCAGCACCTTTTAAATCCCATTATAAAAGGTTGGTTGTTATTAATTTTTAAGTTACAGTAATTGATTCAACCGCAGTGAATGTTTGGTGAATTTTTGAATACAGATGTCACCAGCACGATGAGACTCTCAAATCAGTGCAAATCCATTTATTATTAGATACCACTCAGAATATCAGTGGTATCTATTAATAAAATGGATTTGCACTGATTTGGGAGTCTCATCGTGCTGGTGTGCTGGTGACATCTGTATTCAAAAGTTGTTCCATGTGCGGCGGTCACTTCGAGCACCCTTCAATATTTTGGGATTTCCGGTAAGGAGTGCCACAGGATTTATGGATATTTAATGTTTGGTGAATGTCACAGCCACTGCTTTATAAATATGGTAAGTGATTGACTGTCCTGGCTTTATCTACAGGTAAAGGTGCTCATACACTGTACGATTATCGTACGAGAATTGCGGGAAATCCCGCGATCGTACGATAATCGCAAAGTGTATGGAAGGTGTGCGACCGTTTCTACTGTACAGTCGCACGTCTTCCGTTGAACAAGCAGGCTGGAAAACCCGCCGGGAATCGTACGCTTCTCGGCGAGTTAGTGGCCTCCTTGTTCGACAACTGCCGAACGGGCAACACAGGCATGCACACACTGCAGGAAGGAGGAGGATATTTAGCAGCCCTTGAGAACAAGAAAAGTCTGTAGCTTAGTGAACTGTGGACACTTACCAGCTGGACCTGAGTTTGCAGTGCTGCTGGGTTGTCATAGCAAAAATAGCTACCTGTAACAAAAGAGTATAATGTCACAGAAAATGTAGAACATGCAAAATGGAACAAATATAAGACCAGGGGTGAACACAATAATATGGAATTCAGCCGGCAGTCTGTCCAATCCAGGAGCCAGCCAGGGAAAACCTCAAAAAAAAGTTAGATGCCCGCTGTAATTGTTCAGGAACATTGGCTACCTGGCTCCTGGAATTTCTCCAGCCCTGTATAAGCCTATGCATGACCAGCACATTGGTTAAGCAGCTACTTTGTAAACCTATCCAAAGTTCATAATGCAATATACTAACAAGGCCCCCTGGAAGTTGGCATTTGATTGGTGATTTGACTGGGTTTCAAAGGACCCAGCTCTAAAGTCATGTCTTCGCCTCCCTCTACTCCTGGTCATTCAGAAAACACATAGCCCCAGGCTTTATTTTGTGGCTAGTCAGCAGAGAAAAGGGGGAGACACACCATAGCTTAGGGGTCTTTGACACCTGCAGTGTTTATACCCAATCAGGCCAGACGTACAGCAGCAGAAGCTATACAAATCCCAGCATGTAAACTAATAGATTTGCAAGATGTAGTATAAAAGTATACCTGCGTTAACCCGGTTAAGTTCATTGTGCCCAGAATTGGCCTTTAAATGTACACCACAATATTTCTGCGCCCAAGCAGCCCAAGAGTACACCAAATTGTGATTCTGTTTTATTCTACTAGGTAAAAAGGTATACATATAGACCGAGAATCATGAAGATTAGAGAATTACAATAATCTAAATTCCTAAACAGAATAGTTACATGCAGATCAGAAATATCTACAACACAATATTTATGAGAATCAACGAGTGCTGAATTGGCACTTGAATTCTCCCGATTATGTAATTGTATGTAATTCCAATTGTGTTATTGCAATATAAAGTTTGTATAAAAAAAAGAAGTATGATCTTCTCTATTAGATTGGATTCTGTAGTTTGTGTATATTTTATAAATGGATCTGGATGTCCTCCCTCTGTCCCTACTACTTTAAACAGTGCTGGTTTTGATCACCGTAGACTCTTTATTTTAATATTACTATTCTACAACACTGAGGATCTAATCTAAACATGTTTTTCTTAGATATGAGCTGGGAAGGGTTGAAGATTAGGGCAACATCAGTAAAACATCACAGGGAGGGTGTAACCTCAGGAAGAGAAGAAACACTCCCAAGTCTCTAATGTCAGACTTGAGGAAAAGAAAGCTGACGCAATGATAGTACTCATGGTAAAACATCTCTATGTTGGGAACATTCCTTTCAGAGCCTGCATTGGCAGACAGAGCACAGTTCTGGATAGAGTTGGTCCGTCATGTGAACTCTTGCATGGAAATCAGATTTTTAACATTATAAGATTTGCAGCTGTAACGCACTGTGTAATGTTTACACTTAAGTATTTGGTTCCAGTTGTAAAAGGCACCCAAATATGTCAGATTATTTGTCTCCTGATCTCATAAATTTAGATATTATTACTTTTCTAACAGACGTTATACATTATAGCACACTATATTTTGACAGCCAGGAGTGTACGAGGCACATACTAAGTTTCTAGACCAGCAATCATTAAATGGCAGACCGCAGTCTGGACACGGACCAAGTGGCGGTTCTGTCCAAACTGTAATTGTTGACCTGCACTGGGCTATGGCTGCCTGGCAAAGGTAGGCACTGAGGCCGATACATCCACTGCCAGCCATAACCCAGCGCAACTCTCCCATCCCCATCTACTTAAGTCACTTGTTCCTAGGTATGCTGTATGGGAGGGGTACAGCTAGCCCTGCTGTACTGCGCCTGGTTCCCCTCCCTCTGCCTCATGTCTTAGGGTCCCCCACCACACTGGGGGGCCTGGCACCATAGCAGAGGCATTCAGGATGGAGAGTGGGAGCAGACTGAGGAACATCTGTTCCCCAATATGCTCTGTGCTAAAAGAAGCAGGGAGCGCTGTGCTCTTAACACTTCCTGCTTCAGAGCTGTCAAAATCTGGCTGAAGTGCTGGTTAAACAGATGATGAAGCACAATCCTGTGCTTTATTGTCTGTATTGGAGGGCAGGAGAGACATCAGGAGTCTAATAGACCCCTGATGTCTCCATAAAGCGAAACTGTTACCTCCAAAATGCTGTCACGTAGTGGCTTGTTATCCTCTTTGTGAGCTGTCACATAGGGGCTTGTTGTCCTCTTTGTGACATCAAAAGTTAAGTGAAGAAAACATTTTTTAAAAGAAGGCGATAAGTAAAAGATAAAATGTAAAAAAAGAAAAATTTAAAAACAAACCCTGCCTCCCCCGCCTTCTGATTGGAATGAACATGTGCACGTAAGGCATGCACGTGTATGTAAATAAGAAGGGGGGGAGTTCGAACATAAAAAATAAAACAGTGTGATGTGCCAGCACGAGTATCAGCACTGTGCCTAGGAACACCGGTGTGTATGCAGCCCAACTGGCGGACCATAGTGCAGGCATGGACTGAGTGACCGTTCCATCCGGACTGTGATTCGGAGCTCTGCGTGATAAAAATGTTACTCCCCGGACCTCCTTGAATTTTAATTCTCTGTTCTAGACCAACAGCATGAGAACTTACGATCAAGATTGGAGGAGCCTCAATTTTCCACAGCAGTGATGTGATGATTCGAAGCAACTCACCATCGATTGCATGCCACACCATTGTTTTAATACAAACTATAATTTCCTGCATTACTAATATATACCTGTACCAGCGATTTGGTCACTGCCCAACATGCCTATAGGACAAAGAATATAACTAGAAATTATGACTGGGACTTTTCAGGTGCTACAGTGGTCAATTTTACAACAAAATTAATAATATAATAATTCTTAAATGTGTATTTTTAAAGCCATTTATAATAAATACATTAAAGAAAATGCGTCGTCATCTGGTTATATTCATTAGGTACACTCACGGCCACTTTATTAGTTACACCTTGCTAGTACCGGGTTGGACCCCATTTTGCCTTCACAACTGCCTTAATTCTTTGTGGCATAGATTCAACAAGGCGCTGGAAACATTCCTCAGAGATTTTGGTCCATATTGACATGATGGCATCACTGCAGATTGGTCGGCTGCACATCCATGAGGCGAATCTCCCGTTCCGCCACATGCCAAAGGTGCTCTATTGGATTGAGATCTGGTGACTGTGGAGGCCAGTTGAGTACAGTGAACTCATTATCGTGTTCAAGAAACCAGTTTGGGATGATTTTAGCTTTGTGACATGGTGCATTATCCTGCTGATGGCTACACTGTAGTCATAAAAAGGATGGACATGGTCAGCAACAATACTCAGGTAATCTGTGGTGTTTAAACAATGCTAAATTGGTACTAAGGGGTAAAGTGTGCCAAGAAAATATTACTCACACCATTACACCACCAGCCTGAACCATTGATACAAGGCAGGATGGATCCATGCTTTCATGTTGTTTACTCCAAATTCTGACCCTACCATCTGAATGTGGCAGCTGAAATCAAGACTCATCAGACCAGGCAACATTTTTCCAATCTTCTACTGTATTGCTCAATTCTGGTGAGCCTGTGCGAATTGTAGCCTCCGTTTCATCTTCTTAGCTGACAGGAGTGGCACCCGGTGTGGTCTCCTGCTGCAGTAGCCCATCTGATTCAAGGTTCGATGTGTTGTGCATCCAGAGATGGTATTCTGCATACCTCGGATGTAACAAGTGGTTATTTGAGTTACTGTTGCCTTTCTATCAGCTTGAACCACTCTGCCCATTCTCCTCTGACCTCTGACATCAACAAGGTATTTTTGTCCACACAACTGCCGCTCACTTGATATTTTCTCTTCTTCGGACCATTCTGTGTAAACCCGAGAGATGGTTCTGCGTGAAAATCCCAGTAGATCAGCAGTTTTTGAAATGCTCAGACCAGCCCGTCTGGCACCAACAACCGTGCCACGTTCAAAGTCACTTAAATCCCTTTCTTCCCCATTCGGATGCTCGGTTTGACCATCAGCAAGTCGTCTACATGCCTAAATGCATTGAGTTGCTGCCATGCGATTGGCTGATTAGCAATTTGTGTTACCAAGCAATTAAAATGGTGTACCTAATAAAGTGTCTGATAGTTTATCCGATTAACCGATTAATCGAACTTAATAATCGGCTAACTAATCGATTTTGAAAATAATCGTTAGCTGCAGCTCTACTGGTGAGTGTATATTATAAGCAGCTTTAAAAGAGAACTATGGCCAAACCTTTTTTGACTTTAGTTATCTTTTGGGTCACAGGCATTGAGGCATATATTTACTAATGTCCTCCTGTGACCCCCAAATTCGCATAACAGAACCCTGTCTGTTTTTCCAATGAGCGCGGGAGGAACAGAGAAAGGGGGGCACCTCCCTGCGGGAAGTGATGACTGACAGTGCAGGGAGAAAACCGTGGGCTGAGCGATCAGCGGCTTGTGAACGTTCAGTTCTCGATCTATAGAGCCGGTGTGTGACAGCTGGAGTGTCCCACACACTGCCTCCAACTATAGGGATGAGTGTAGTTTACTCTTTCAATATTTCTCCTTTAACAAAATCACTATCAATATAACTAGAGATTACGACTGGGACTTCTTAGGTGCTACAGTAACAAATTTAACTACACAACTTTGTTGGTTAACTACATTTATAAAGCTGTTTGTAATAAAGAAATCATTTTTTGATGAATTGTGGTATGAAATGCATCACTGCATCACCTGAAAAGTCCCAGTCATAATCTCTAGTTATATTCAAAATGTATATTATAAGCAGCAAAATCAATTGAGCTTCAGAATAAAATATTCAACTGACCTAATATTTTTGAGACTCAATAAATACACCACAACAAAGCACTAGGCTAATCCTTTATTAACTGCATTAAGGACTCCCAGCTGCCTTTCCCTCATAAGCCACTGTTTACCTACTAAATACCTAGGCATATCCCTCTACACAAGTGTGATCATTCATGACAGTGGGGGAGGTTTGTAGGAAAATCCGAAGAGGTCACGATGCATTAGTACTTCACACAAAACATGGACATACAGTACACTACAGGTACCAATCACGTTCAAATAAAACAAGTACTCACAACTTTCAGAAAAAAAAAAAAAAAAAAAAAAAGACCTATTGTACCCATTCACCCTCGGCCACTTTCATCAAGCAAAGTTCATTCATGGGTTAGAAACTTTTTTTGTTATTCAGGTCTCTGTTATGGAGCTTCCCATCCCGCTGCCAATGGTTTTACCACAAGGCAGGAGCAGGGGCCCATTCACACCAAAATTGCACCACAACTGCACTAAAATCACATTAAAAATGCGCTTGTGTTAACATAAGTTTATGTGTATGTTTTCCTGGGTTTTTGGGCGGAAGATACATCACTTCCCCTTTAAAGCTGTTGTGTTTACATGCACTTTGATGCATTGTGGTGCAAAAAAAAATGCAGCCTATTCGATTAAAAAAAAAAAAACACACCGTGAACAACACCATTTAAAATCAATATTTTATGTGCATCTACATTTTGAATGCGTTCAAAAACGTATCCAAACACATTGGGTAGGAATGGTCCCTAAACCATTAGGGATGCACCGGCACCAATAATTATTTCCTTGTACTTGCCGATGCAGATACACAATGAGCAAATTTCGGACAATTCAGCAGGAATCGGATGAAAATTGATGCATGGGTGGCACTATACCCTCAACAACAGTTGATAATTAGACTGACTTTTGTCAAATGAACATGCTGGGAAATCATTGGCCAAACAATGTGGGCAGCCAATCAGCCGCAAGCACTATTTTGGTATTATGACAGCGACTAGCACCGCTATAAGAATATAATGTACAAAAGCAGGAGATTTGTTTATCCACATTATTAGCATGGAAGAAGGAAACTGTCATTTTTTTCATTCAACAAAATATGTGCGTTTAGAGATAGTAGGCGGACTCCTCTTACAGGTAGCAGGCACCTTTCATGCAGAATGGCCAAGTAGCCTGAAACCCCAAGCTGCTTCATAAGGGCTTGTTCACACCATGTCCAGAACAAAACTGTTTGTTCGTGGACCAAAGCATCCCGATGGTATTTCTGGGCTCTGTACATACCAGTGCAGTCCGTTACGGTGTGTCAATAAATCTCCCCGTCTGGGTATGCACACACACTACCATTCATAACTATGGACTTCCAAGTACAAGCTGATATTTGGAATTTTATGGGAATAAATGTGCACGCCAGGTGATCTAGTCAGCAATATCTCGCTGGATTAGGCGAGTAGAAGTCTGGGAGCAGGGACTGATGTGCCCTGATAGTAGTGTAACTGCAGCGAACAGTGCAGTCATTTCTTCGATCTCCTAGTTAGCTGTAACAGAACAGCAGGAAAGATTCAAGGCGCAGGCCCTTTGATTAGACTGAACAGTCTCCAATGCCTGACGTAACTTCCACCAACGTTGTCCATTCATTTAAAGTCAAACCATTAGCAAAACACATTTTTAGCATTGAATGAGATGGGGGGGATAACACTCCTGTCAATTTTTTATTGCACTCCGAGTCTCTGTTACAAGATTTCGATTCACTTTCGTCTCATTATCACAACCTACACCTCTTAAGCATTGTTCACACCTTGGCGTACCAGGAACGCCTGGCGGGTTCGTTTTCCTCACCGGCGTTTGCCACGCATCCTCATTGATTTCAAAGGGTGCCGCACCCGCAACAAACATAGGAAAGTAGCTCATGTAGCAAATTCTGCATTTTTTTTCTGCGTGTTTTAACACGTGGCAAAGTGCAGGAAAAATACACATTTTCCAGTCCAAGTTTGGTGTCATGATCCATGAAGTAATGGCACCACAAGCACGTTGCACTTTATTGACATGCTGTGAACGTACAGCAGACATGCACGCTTTGACACACGTTCACAGAGACATATTCTGCTGTGTTTCGCACTAGGCACATTTTTTGGGAAAGCGCTGTGCCTAGCACAAAACACATCAGAATAAGAGCTTGTTCCTGCTGGCATACATTGAGAAGATAGTCATCCACTCACCAAGGTCCAATGCATCAATACGTCCTTTTATTGACAGCAGATACACATGGCATCACAACCATGAGCAACGTTTTGGAACCTATCGAGGTCCCTTCATCAGTAAAATAACATAGTGACCACTTGCCTGATAAAGAGGCCTCGATGGGTTCTGAAACGTTGCTCATACTTGTGATGCCATGTGTATCTGCCATCAATAAAAGGACCTTGGTGTGCAGGTGACTATCTCCTCTACGTTTGAATTTGTACGACACCAACCGCACGTCATTCCAGCACCATACTACAGTGCGATACCGGTCTGGTGTGCAATGGGAGATCTGTTTATGGCTGGCATGTATTGGACGCATATATTTCTTATTTATGTAAACACAGCTAGACTGAACACACCTAGAAGCTGATAAACGTCTAGTGTGAATTCAGCCATAGGAAAGCATAACATAATAGAGGTGGGTGCATGTCTTTTGACAGCCATATGATGAGAAATCGCTAGAATTAAGCTATTATTGGGGGATGAAACATGTTAGTGAGAAGCTGCTGGGTGGAGGGTCTAAGAGTTTTGGTGCTTAGAAAATTCAGTCATCTTTATCTTCGAGGAAGTGCTGTGCAGCTTTGTCATAGACTGCAGCACCGGACACACAAACAAGTCCCGAATTCCACTCATGTGTACTGAGGGTGTCAATAGCAGCAAACACACCCCAGCAAGATGCCCTCCCATACTCTTCCAGCCTGTCTCCCCTGTGTACATTCAACAGTCTGCCATAACTTACCGAAGCCCAGAAAACACATAAGACTCAGCACCACCACACGATGAGCGAACCGGCTGGGGTCACATATGGCCGACATCTGCTTCCGCTCTGTGTTACCGGGGCCCCCATCTGATCCACCGGGAAGCAGCGCTTCCTCCTCCTCATACCCCGCCATGTTGTCTTCACTCTAATCACGTGATTGACCAGCTTGATCACATGCCCCGCTCTCATGTGACCAGCTCGCGTCACTGTTGAGGGAAGTGCAGAGACTGGCTTGTGGGTGGTGTGATGTTGCGGTGTCTGTGTTGCTGATCTCAGACTACAAACGGTGCAGCTACCAGAGGAGGAATACAGTGTGCTCACTGCTATAGACCAGTTATAGTCACATCAACAAAACATTGCAGTTTACTAGATTAACACAGGGCTCTGCAGTTACTGTTCTGGGCAGAGAAACCTAAAACAGTGATACCCAACGTGCAGAAGGCAGCCAGACATAACACTTTCCTTGTCTTTAACCGGCCATTGGAACACTACTTCACCTACTGACACAAATGATGGGACACTATTCCTCCCACTGACACCAATGATGGGACACTATTCCTCCCACTGACACCAACGATGGGGCACTATTCCTCCCACTGACACCAACGATGGGACACTATTCCTCCCACTGACACCAACGATGGGGTGTCAGTGGGACTGCAGTGCAATTGCCTGCTCCAGAACGCAAGATACATCATTGCCTGCATTCCAGTCCAGTGTTATCTGAAAAAATAGTGAATGTAGAATTTTTTCAGATTGCACTGGACCACAATGCAAACACTGATGTGCAACATGTTCTGTTGTGGGCGATCGCACTACGGGCATGGCTGCGGTGCCATTGACTTTAATGCACCGCCACGGCCCCTCCCGCCCCAGAACGCAGGGAGGAGTTTAGCATACGATACAATGCATTCCAGCAGCTAACCGTGCTGGAACGCACTGTAACTCGTGTGAACAAGCCCTCAGAGTATGTTGCTGCCTGTCAGATTTTTTTGTCCCTGTTTACTGAGCCAATCCATTTATTGATGTCAGTTATCACTCACCCAAAGTGTCATCAAGCGCTTTTGGGGCCACACAGGGTCCCCTTCATCAGGCTCAGAGTAAACATGTTTACTCTGAGCCTGATGAAGGGGACCCTGTGTGGCCCCAAAAGCGCTTGATGACACTTTGAGTGATAACTGACATCAATAAATGGATTCGCACTGACGTCTAAGTCTTTGTCTTGCTGGTGACGTTTCTACACTCGATTTTGCTGAATGCGGCACCATCCGCGGTCATTGCAAGCACCCACAAATGCGTATGGGAGTTCCGGTAAGGAGTGCTACAGGTCCTTGGACAATTGTACTGTTTACTGAGCCAAGCATATTCAGCTCAGTGGACAGGCTCGGCATGCCGACATAAATAACTCCCATGCACATGTGTGGGAGTTACGTCACCTGATCAATCAAGTGGTTGAAAAATCAGAAACCCGGAAGAAGACCAGGGAGAAGATGGAAGCACCGGCAAGGAAGAAGTGCAACGCTGGAGGAGATTGTTTTGGCAAGTAAGTCTGCCATAAGGTGCTAATATGCCAGTGGGGCTTTTTTTTTTTTTAAATTTTGACAAATATTGTCTTCTGCTTTAAGTGTATTGCACAGTTACTGGTTAAACAGGGACAAGGTGGTGCTGTTAGAATACACAGCACATGGTGGTGCTGTTAGAATACATAGTACTGTGTTTATACCCTGTTTCCCCGAAAATAAGACCTGGTACTATTTTTGGGAATTGCTAAAATATAAGACCTACCCCGAAAATAAGACCTAGATGTGACCATTCCCAGGGCTGGTGTTGGCATAAGGGGGAACTTGAAGAGCTGCGGGAGAGGCAGGAGAGAATCAGCAGTGCCAACTAAGCCAGCGCTAGAGGAAGCGAGGCGGCAGCGGAGGGAGCAGAGCCGCATAAGCCGATGCTTCCTCTATAGCGCCGGCTCCTGTCACAGGCAGAGTGATACCAAATGCATGCCACCTGTGAGGAATCGATAGTGAAAGTGCGCTTCGCTCGTTCTGGCCAGCGATTGGTTAGCAAATTGCTCTTGCAAAGGTACCACACCCCTGATTGCCCTGATCACCATACTTTTCTACATGAATAAGTGTGGATTGTTGTACGTTAAAAAAAAAATAAGACCTACCCTGAAAATAAGACCTAGTGTGTTTTTTTGAGCCCAAAAAAATATAAGACAGTGTCTTATTTTCGGGGAAACACGGTAGCAACAATTTCTGCAGTATACAATTTCGGTCAGTAGATGGCAGTGTTTATAAGTTATCTTATACAGTATCTATGGTATATACTCTGTTGTATTGAAAAAGGTAGAGAATAAAGCTGTGGCTTCCTTCTTGTCTCCAAGCCATGTGAAGCATGCATATCTGCATGTGTGCTTGTGTTTCTCTGTGAGGCTGTGCAAGAAGTTCCATCAGGTGCACATGGCCTATTCCTTATAGGGCTGTTCATACCAGCCTGCATGTGTATTGCTCCCTATAAAGCGTGTGCGCAGTTGTACATTGCAACAGATGATAAACTGCCTTGTTACAACACATCAAACTGCCTACTTTTTTTTAACTTTATACCCAGCACGTTGACATGTGGTGGCATGCATCATGATGCCTAAAATGCAGACACATTTACACAATGTACACAATCAAATAGGGCACAAAGAGAACCATTGATTTTAATGTGCACCTGCATTGTGCCTGCGTTGATCAATGCAGCTCAATGTTGTGTGCATGAGCCTTTAGTGTCCCTGCTGCTGTCTGAACACGCTCCACTCTGCTGACAGCGGCAGAGGCACAGCAAACATGGGGGTAGCATTGGCCGTGGCTGTGGCACCAGGCGAGGGATATAGGAAATGTGCCCTGGTTGCTAGCCACATGTGAGACAAGATTCTCGATGAGGAATTAAGCAAGAGATGTAAAGAGGTGCCACATTTTTGCCGACCGCCAAACTGAATAAAAGAGGAACAAAGAAGATGTAAAAAAAACTTGTAAATTTCACAGTTTTCAAAATGAATTTCCTTGACTGCTACAGCAATTAGTGTGCTTTAAAAAACAGCAGCTGTGAATTGTCACACATATTTCAGAAATTCACAAAGTTTTAATAACATTTACCGCATCTGATTTGTTTATCTGTGCATAGCAAGTTCACAATCCTGGCCCTTCCTTCTGGGATATTTCCGCCGCTGTCAGCCTTGGGAGGTCTGTACTCACACAAATTAGGCATCTGCAAAGCCCCTGCGTGGGCCGAGGCGGCCGCCTAATTTGTCTGACTACAGTGCAGCCTCTGCTTTGGGTCCCGATTGTTCGGTGCGGCCGGCCAGGCCCAGCAGAGGATCTCATTAATGTGACGCAATGCAGATGTGAGTAATGTAACGCAGAGTGCAGAGGTCAGTAATTTAACGCAGAGTGCGGAGGTCAGTAATGTGACGCAATGCGGATGTCAGTAATGTGACGCAGTGCGAAGGTCAGTAATGTGACGCATTTCGGAGGTCATTAATGTGACGCAGTGCGGAGGCCACCGGTGTAAGAAAAAGGACTTACAGTGGTGATGTGTCTGTCCTCATGCCCTCTTCTTCCTCTCCGGGTGGTGGTGGGGGGAGGGGCAAGCATCAATGTCTGTGAAGCTTCTCCTTGTCACTTGCAATGGCAGAGCTAACGGGAGATCGTGGCTGCAGCGGCCGCTTCTCAGGGGAATGGGGGGCACACGGGGCCAGAGCTAACGGGAGATCGTGGCTGCAGCGGCCGCTTCTCAGGGGAATGGGGGGACACACGGGGCTTGAAAAATGCTAGGGTGTCTCACCAGTCAGTCAAAAATGTCACCAGTCAGCATGACCGGACTATAGCCTTGCAATTTATGTAAAAAAAATTTGGGGACAGATGGAGCTTTCTTTTGGAGGTATATAATCACCACGGGGGGAGGGGGGTTATTTTTTTTACTATATCATTTAAAAAAGTACCGTAAATGTAAAAAAAAAAAGTTTTCTTATGTTATAAAACATTTATTCTTACCCATATTTTTGGTAAAACATAAAAGTCGGGGGCACGTCGGGTAAATAGACACCAAACACGTCAAGCCTTAAAATTGCGTGCGCCCGCAAAATCGCAAAAAACGCCCATAGGCCCTAGGCAACGCTTAAAACGCTTTTACTGCTCATCAGTTTAGTGTTATCAGTGATTAATGGCCCTAAAATTACTGCTCGCACTGCGTTTGCGGCGATATGTAATATGTGTGGCACAATAGGTGCAATCATCGTTTTCGCATGTAGGCGCACCCGACGCATATCTGCGTGTGTATGTGGGGGGCGGGGACTTACAAAAATTGTTTTCTTTTTAAAAAAATGTTATGATTTATTTTTTTTATGATTCTTTTATTTTTGTATTACTTTTTTTTTTTTTACACACAACTTTATTGCTATTACATGGGGGGCCAAGAAGCCCCCAATGTGATAGCCAATTTACATGACAGGTCCTCTTTATGGAGACATCAGGGGTCTCCAAGACCACTAATGTCACCCAGGGGCCCCCAGAGAAGCTGATGAAGCAGTGATCGGTTGCCCCCCCCCCCCCTTGGATCCGCCACTGGTTCACAAACTGACAATTTACCATACCAAAAAAAGCCCAACTCCATCCTAAAGTTATTTCGTTTTGGAAAGTGTCCCTATTGGGACAGGAAATGGTGCAAAAACCTTACAACAGCTCCAAACTCATTCCCATGATGGACTACAATCTGACATTTAGTTTACTAATTTTTATTGAGATTGTAGTCTATCACGGGAGCGGTGGCTACTTTACAACACACACAGATACCATGGGGAACAAAAGTAGCCACCCTCCAGAAGGGAGGACAGTGTCAGCATGATTTCAGAGATGATTGGAGGATCTACAGCCGAGTGATACACAAATAAGATACATTTTTGTTAATAGTTAAGGTACTTGAATGTATCTTTTAAATGTAACTCCTGAGTTTGGTGTCAGTTTAAACTTTTGTGGCAACTCCAGAATCAACTCCTCATTACAGTATCCTCTCTGACAGCTGGTCACTGCTACCAATGTGCGGCCACAGATTACACCTTCCTCTTGCTTTCCGGATCCCAGGGTTCCATCCCTCTCCAACTGAGAGGGGAGGCCTATT